AAGTTAAATAACCATTTGTTACTTTTAACTTCCATATATGTTATGTAAATGTTGCTTAAAACGTCTAAATAACAATGACTGCGTTCACACTATTAAAGACTTCAATGTTCTTTGAAGAATCGAAATTATATAATTATTAGGTTAATATGGTTAATAGTAACGAATATATTTTCATAAAAAATATGCATATCACTTTATCACTCAATAATTTTTGTATATTTGTAAAAGTCATGAAAATTAAACTCGAGACACGAAATACGAGACCCGTCGTGTGTAGTAAAGTATCGGCATATTGTCGTTGATATTAAAAGTTAAAATGCAGAAAATAAAACTGCTTAGTGAACGCACCGAGATTCTTTTTACGATTAGTTTGTATTTAGATTCAGTAAAAACTTCAGACAAGAACCAATCACAATGAAATTAAATAACTAGAATTAACGCTCACAGAGCAACTTTGTTTTTTGAACGCGGCCAACATCGTATGCACATCGACGTTGATTCTTATTATACAGGTTCAACGGGGAGATAAACGTGGTGCATCCTCGATTTTTCATCGGGAAGTCACGGACGTTTTCACGTGTCCGCGAGAAACGCGAGAAATAAATTGGATTGCGGAGTTGAAGCGGTGCGCTGCACGCGAGAGCTGATCTCCTAAGTGCAATAGGAAACGTTGATTAATGGGAGGAACTTCGCGAACGTAATTCCCCCGCTCGCTCATCGAAATTTGCATGAATGACAATACAATTCTGCGCTCCAGCAATATGCGGGTGCGCGGTGTAAATCTTGTAAAGGGCAATCGGAACCGAGCGAGAATTTCCGCTCGTTCGACAACCACGGGACCGGGGTAGCCAGGCAGATTCACAAGACGTTCGACCGTGACGAAGGTTATCGACTTGGCGAGTCGCTTGCCGAGCTTACACAATATATGTACATGTATCGCTTAGGTACACAGCGTGCTATTTGGATTACGTGCGCCAATATGGACAGCATTTGTTATGTATATCGAGTTACGTAAAGCGAAACGACGATTTAATGGCGAGCATAATGAATGAAATTTTATATTTTCAAGCGTATAAGAGCGTAAATTAATTTACAAAGTGTGCGGATATTACTTACCATTATGATGAAACTCTGCCTGATACGGCACATGAGAGTCGAAAATTTTGATCGAACTTTACGAGTCTAAAACACCATTCGTTTTTCCCACAGAATGTCCGACCACGTGTCTTCTCGATTGCAATATGTAAGTCTGCTTTAGTTTCTTCTGTACCGCGTGAGTTGCGAACGTAATAAATACTGCCGATAATACTCTCGATTATATACTTTGGCTTGCATTTCCTCTCCTCCGTGAAATAAATGATAGTATCTAAAATCTGAAAGCACAAGAACGATTAAATTATGCCGTTTGTTTCCCCATAGCTTTTCTAGCGGGGAAAGAGGCTACTTTGAATAATCGATTAGCCTCAATGATTGTTCGACAGCAGCATGCCTGAGAACGCGCGCGATACGCCGACAAATTATTGTTATATTGACTACACGTTAAATTCGATCAAGTTGTTTTTAAACGATCAAGTGGTTTGCCATTCGATTGTCGAAGCAGATTGTTGTAAATGTCTTACTATTTTGCGACTATACCGTCGTGAATTATGATGAATTACCGTACAATTCTTCGTTTCTTGCAGTACACGAACTGAACTGAATTGACCTGATCGGCTGATATATTTTTAAAACTATTTTTAGTATTGGATATCCGTTAGACTCGTCATGCATTACGTCGGAATTCCTGTGTCTAATTGTTTCTCGTAATATTTGTAAATAAGCAAACATGTTGAACTTTTAATTATAAATATTCTTTCATTAACATAGAATTTTTAAAAATATTTTTTACATTTTGCTTATTTGCTACAACAACAACAAAGTATAAATAAAAAATTGTCACTTTGAGTTACTTGCCAAAAAAAGAAAAGAAATATAAAGGAAAGAACGTACTTTTATTTTTAACACAATTAATTATTATTTCAATTTCACTCAAAAATTGATTATGAGTTACTTATAAAAAAAGAACGGAAATATAAAACAGAAATAAGAAAGAACATACTTTTATTTTTTTACAATCAGTCCCTCTCGATTATTTGTAACTCAAGAATTATCATTTGGAGTTGCTCGTAGAAAAAGAACGGAAATATAAAAGAAATTAGAAAGAACATCCTTTTATTTTCTCTTCTACAATCAGTTTTATATATATATATATATT